CATCTTACAATCAGGTTGTTAATATCCTGATTAAAGAAATCATTGGCTTGGAAAAACATGTCAATGTCCTCTTTAACACTTTCCACATTTGCATACGTTTTCCCATATATAGTCTATTCTTATCGCTGATGCTTTTTCATCTTACAATCAGGTTGTTAATATCCTGATTAAAGAAATCATTGGCTTGGAAAAACATGTCAATGTCCTCTTTAACGCTTTCCACATTTGCATACGTTTTACCATTAAGATGGTGTTGCAGCGAACAAAAAAGATGGTAATCTAATCGTGCCATATCTGGAGAATATGGTGGATGGGGAAGAACTTCCCAACCCAACTCTATAATCTTGTGTTGTGTCAAACATAATCCACATGTTGTTGTGCATTGTGGTGGAGAAGAACACCTTTTTGATTGACGAGTGAAGGGCGTTTCTGATGATGGGCTTGATTTAAATGTTCCAATTGATGACTATAGATCTATGCATTGACAGTTCACTGTGGATTGAGGAGTTCAAAAGTAATTACTTCTTTGATGTCCCACCAAATGCAAAACATCACTTACTGCGGATGGAGTCCAGGTTTTGGGATCAGAAGTGATTTTTGTCTGGGACTGAGGCATTGTTTTTGGTGTTTAATATACGCATAGAGAATACATTTTTCATCACCAGTGACAATTCTGTCCAAAAATGGTTCACGTGCATTACGTGCCAGAAGAAACGAAGGAACATTCACACGTTGGAAACAATGATCATTGGAGAGTTCGTGAGGCACCCAAACACCTTCTTTATGGAGTTTTCCCATATTCCTTAGATGTTTATGTATTGTTTCATGAGAGACATGCAATTTCAAGGCCATTTCACAGGTTTCTTGTCTTGGGTTAGACTCAACAAGCGTCTGCAGAGCATCAATATCAATTCCAACATGTTGACCCCTGCCATCACAGTTTTTAAGGCTAAAGTCACCTGAAGGAAATGTGCTGAACCATGGTTGACACTTACAAACATTCAAAACATTTCCAT